ATCCAAATAGATCTTAATTGTAACCATTGGGTGATGCCCTAAGTCACCAAGGGACCCCATCAAATTATCATCCAAATTTCCTTAAGTCGCCTTAAGACGCCTTAAGCTGCCACAGTGCCCCGCCCAATTTACCCTGATTTTTTTTCTTAAGTCGCCTTAAGCCGCCTTAAGTTGCGGCGACTTAAGGCGACTTTCTGACCCGGAGTAGGCCTCTGTAATGAATGTGATTCTAGATACATTATATACATTAGTCATTATAAATACACATTACTATTATTATACCTTGTAATTTTTTAACACATTATATATAAACTTTATATTTAATCATTACATTATTGTAAATAGTTACTGAAAAGCCTTTTTAGGAGTTGCTATTAAAGTTATTATTATTATTATTTATTTATTCCCATAAGACCTAAGGTATGAGCAGGGTTAGCCTCAACTCGGGGAAAATGTAGATTCTTAGCGCTATTGTATTAACAACAATTTCTCGTGCTATTCTTTTATCTTTGAAAAGTTCTTTGCGTAATAGAATCTGCTGTCAAATAAAACAGCGGTTATTCGCTTTGAATTCGAAACTGAAGTATTTGAAAAACCATAGTGCTATCGCTCCCAATCCACCTTAAAGTCAGCTGCTAAATTTAATCGTTTAATTTCCTCAAGAGTTATACCGCTGATTTCTCCACTGATTTGAAATGCAGACTTTTTCATTAACAACTGCTAATATCTTACACACCTACTGGACAAAGGCGTCAAATTTTCTCGATTTATGAAGGACAACTTCAAAATTGATTTTGTAGACTATAACGGTTTCAAATGTATTTATACCTTTCAGCGAGTACCCAGATGCTGTACGATGTATTTGACTATACCATTGGTATGTTGGAAGAGTTAGAAAAACACGAAGGCCATCCGGGAAAACATGTCCCCCCAAACTCGGGAATATTTTCTCATCTAGTTCCACTCAAGCACAAAATGCCTAAGCCTGAGGTTAGAGCTATTCATGATTAATTACGCAAGCATTGTTTTCACTTTTGAGATGTGATAAAAAGAAGAGACATACTACTCTAGCGCTGTTACAGGCAATAACCGAGGCAACAAAAAATGTACAAAGAGTATTCTAGGTGATCAAACAAGTGATTGTAGCTTTTTGGTAACTAGTCATTCAAGATTTAAACGTAAGGCAGTCTAATTTTTTCTTATAAAATCGTCGGAACAACCGTAATTTCAATTAATACAACAAGGGAAATGCTGGTAATTATTGCACAGTCCCTAAGCAATTAGAAAGCCAACGTCAGGAATTAGTGAAACGTTTTCTTTTGAATCGATGTTTGTAGATTGCATAAAACCAGGCTTTACTTTGGTTAACTTCTTTAAAAAACGACTGAAAATATTCCAAGCTTAGTTTTATGAGGGTGAATGTTTAGGTGATCGATGGAATCGAGACACAGCTGCAGCGCTTGTCTATCCAAATGCGGTGCTTACCGAAGGACGTTATCAACGATTCGACCAGGAAAAAGCTGGTTGACGCGACTCTACAATGGCTTGGAAGCAGGCAAGAAATGAAAGTATCTCACAGTATAGTGGAATGGTATTGCAAGAATATCCTTGAAATTGTGGTGCTGGGTGTTGCTAGAGAAATGCCACCGAGAAAACATCCACCTCCAACTGAGTACGTCTTTTAATATATTTTGAATTAGTGCAAATAGCTCCAATGCACATTAACTATGAAATAACTGACATAAAAACAGSCATTTGTTCAGTATTTATTGAATATTAGTCGTTATCATTTCAAAAATTCATCTGTTCGATTTCGAGTAATATTAATATCTTATTAACCGAGCGCGAAGCCCGCACGAGAAGTTATGGACCGAGTTTTTTCACTGACTTATGGTCAGAGCGCGTAGCGCGAGGGCCATAAAAAGTGAAAAAAAAAAACGAGGTTCCATAACGTCCAGTACGGCTCGAGCAAGCGAGGTTAATAAGATATTTATTATATAGCATTTTCAGGGAAAAATAGTAAAATTAATAGAGACTCGGACATAAAAATACGTTTTTGTTCGTACTTTTCTTGTCATTCAAAATAGAAGGAAAAAGGAAAAACCTGAGAAACCTTGATAGCAAAATTTGGATTCATTTTGCCGACTCTTTTTATACAGTACAACTACAACAAGAGAGAAAGCGAGCCTTTTTAAGATAWAAAACGTTTTTTCTCGTTTCATCTGGTCCGTAAGGGAAAGTATGGCCCGCTTTTTAGCCAGTGAACTCCTGTGTTACATCCGAGCTATATAATAATGACAAATATTTCATGGATGTAATTTTTAGTGCAAATTACTCGAAATCGAACAGATGACTTTGTTTTTAACTATTACAAAACGTTATGCAATAGTTTGAAGTAAATGATGATGTCTACCGCTTTTCTGGATCTCATCAATTTTTTGAGATATTTGCGGAAAAACGAATTTCGACAAAATGCAAATTTCGTTGCCTAGATAGAGCTAAATATTATGTCAAACAAAACTTCGCTTTAATGCTTTAATACTGAACACTAAACAAATAGGTACATAGCAAGATTTTCAAAAAGCGAATTTACATGAGAGGTATGGTCGAAAAAGAGCAACTGTAGGCGAAGCCACTTAACTCAATAAAAAATTGCTAAAAACTAAGTTTTCTTTTAGAATCATGAACAGTGAGCAAAGTTCTAGCAAGATTAAAGCTAAGTTGAGGCCAAAGAGACGTGCAAAAATAAAGGTGTCCTTGCGCGAAGGTTAGTATAATTCATTTTGCTTTTGACTGATTGAGTCTTATTCCTTGATGAAATACCGATTGTTTTTTCCTTGAATGGTACTTTTTACTTCTCTAAGTTTCTCTCAACAAAAAAGAACCCTTTAGTTTAACTTTAATAAGTACATTGCTTTTCTCTTGTCCTTAGGAGCAAATC